TGGAACAGTATTAAATGCTTTAAAGGAATGTTTCAAAGTAATGGGTCATCCCCAGTCAGTTTATAGTGATGATGAAGGAGCGTTGAATGATAAAACATTACAAAAATATTTGAAAGATGAGGGCATAACACATAATACAACTTTAACACATGCAAATGTAGCTGAACGAATGATAAGAACCTTAAAGAAAATGATAGGTGATAGAGCGCTTGTTCATAAAGGAGCGTGGACAATAATGTTAAAACCTGTATTGGATAAATACAATAAACAAATGAAGCACAGCACGACGGGAATGACACCGAGTGAAGCACATAAAGATGAGCATCATATAGAAGTTAAAGCTAATTCAGTAATGAAAGAAAAATATTTGAGAAATTATCCTAATATTAAAGAAGGAGACACTGTAAAGATTTTTACAAAAAGTGGCGGTAATTATACCAGTAGAAAAGAAACAAGGAGCAAATGGAGCGAGAAAGCATATGAAGTAAAAGAAGTTGAGAGAGACAAGCAGTTAAATAAATATTATGTTCTTGAAGGTTTACCTAAAAAATATATGAGACACGAATTATTGCTAGTAAATAAGTAAATGCACTTAAAGAAAAAAGACCTTAATATATTAGTGATATGGACACTGATAAAGCAAAGAAGATTGTTAAGAAATTCATAAAAAAGAACCCTTACCCTGAATATAATGATGTAGTTAAAATGTTAATGAAAAACTTTAATGAATACCGAGAAAGTGATGATAAAGAATTTGCTATTCATTATCTTAATCTTTTCAGTGAGTATGGACAACCGGACCACGAATGGATGAAAGAAATATATGAAAATATAATGGATGAAAAATTAATAAAAACAAACGGTGAGAAGATATATAATAGAGGTGGTGCTCTTGTAATGCAATCCAATTATTATACAATTATTGAGATATTGAAAGATATGTTTGAAAACAAAAATATGAAACACGATGAACGAGTAGAAATATTGTATCCAATAAAAGAACAAATTAGCGATTGTTGGAATGGAGTGGGAGAATGGAGACACTAACTATTATATTATAAACAATTAAACTTTATAATATACTAGTATCCACTTAAAGAAAGAAAACCCTAGAATAGTAGGAACTATGACCATCCTAGATTATAGCAAGTGTGAAGCGTGTAAGAAACTTAAAAATACAAAATCAATATTATTAAGTAAAATATTACCTGAAGTTTTAAGTGATAAAATCGTTTCATATGATTGTTGTAATTATTGTGGTGATATGAGAGCAAAAGAACAAGAAGATAAAACGACTGAACACTTGAGTAAGATTGAAAAGCAAATACAATATTTTAGAAGAACTAGATTTTCTGCGTTTAATGAATATGGTAGAAGCAAGAATAGAGAAATGAAAGCACTGATACACATAATTGAAATAAGCAACAATCCTTTTAAGAATGTTTTAAAATCATATGTTAGGAACTGCTATAGAATATTATTATATGATTTCTGTAAGATTATTCATATGTTATATGATAAAGAATGGTTAAAAGAATATATAAGCACTTGCACAAACATACTTACAATAAAATATAGCTGGTATAGAAAAACATACCCTGATAAAATGCTGTTTAAATTATTAGTTTATGAATATTTAAACAATTTAATATTTCTTGATAAGAAGTATATTAATAATGATGAACTTAAAATTTATTTGAATGATGTATTTGATGATTATAATAATTAAAAAATAGACTTAAAGAAAAACGACCATTTAATAGTAGGAACTTATGCCTTATGCAAAAGAGGAAGATGCCGTAAGTGAAACCGAAATGGATAACACAGCAAACGAAGCTTTACAAAAAATAAAGAATAACATTAGTAAATGTAAATTTTGTAAATTCAATAACGAGAACTTACTTCTTTATAATTTAGACTTACCGCGAAATATCATAAAGAACATTTGTACATACAACTATGAAAAATGCTGTAAATGTGAAGAATTATCAAAAGAAATCCAATTTTCAGAAACACATAAATACAAACTTAACAGGGTCAATTTCTTTTTTAGGGTGTTGTATGATTTTCCTACATATGATAACTTAAAAAAATTCTTACTAACAAGACTATCACGAAAAAGATATGGAATTTTGTATCAAATCTTTTACTGGGATTTTATAGACAACGATGACGAAAGCACAAAATACACTTGTAGAATTCATAATATAAGCTTTGAAGCTGTAACAAGAGATTTAAACAAGATTTTGAAATATATAAAACGAAAACATTTTGAAAAGTATGATCTTAAACTTGATTATTATCCTGCAACACTATTAATAAAAATATGAACTTCAAGACCAAAAACCCCAACAAAGCTTCATAATAAAATTTATTATGAATATTTGATAAAACATTAGAGGGTCAAACACCCTAGAAACCTAGGAATTATGATAATCCCTGAAATTATGATGAAAATAATGAATGAGAGGGCTAGATGTGATGAAATTTTAGGGTAAAA